ATATATATATATATATCAGGTAATTGCATTTGTGATATATGTGCGTCCATTAATAAGTTCGGTTTTATACTTTTTTATTTTATACTTTTTTTTTACAATCCAGAAGGTTATATATCATGAACAAAATTATTAATTAATGCACGTATTTTCAAAAATTTAATAGCTGCAATACTATTTTTTATTCCAAAATCTAATAGTTGGTACCAAGAGCATTTTAAAACATATTTTTAATAAAATTGGTATATACATTTCATATACATATAAAAACACACATATGTATGTTGGACACTTTGAGTAATGCTGTGACGTAAGCGGTACTGTTTTTAAACATCATAATTTGAAACAGCACTTAATAAAAATGAACTTTATCATTATGTTGTGAAAGCTTTTGATTTGACATCAATTATTTTAGTTTCTGGAATTAAAAATAAAATGTTATATTTTAAAAAATCGACGTGATTTTAATCTGACTGACCTTGACAAGATCGAACATATGATCAATAAATATAAATCATTTTAAATTAATTCTATTGTTTAGATCATTTTTCTTGCGTTTTCGAGATATTTCACCGGTCCGAGATTGTTTACTCTGTAAAGATATTTTTTAATTAACAATAAATCTTTTAAAATACTTATAAATATTTATTTAATATTAAAACAGGTTTTATTAAACGTTAAAAACATTTTTTACAATGTCAAAATTATATTTAAAAAATATTTAAACAATTAATTTTGACATAGTAATTTGACAAAACAATAATATTATGACGAAATATCTCAGTACAATTTATATATTGTCATCATTTCATTTCGTTGTTATTATACAATGTTTTCACAATTTGCCTACAGGAATAGTTTGTACGTTTCTGAAGTTTTTTATTAATTGTATTTTAAAAAATATAGTTTTAAAAAATAAAAATAGTATCGGTGATTTTTCTTTACATAATTCACACACACACACACACACACACACATGCACGCGCACACGCACGCACATCCAGATATATAATTATTTCACTAATATAAATATATGGACTATTGATTCCCACGGATTGCATAATTAAATATTCATTATTTTGCAAGAATAGTTGCTACACGTGTGCATTTAGTAATAATTTTACATTAATTAATCAATGATTGCATTTAGGAAGCTAGTATATGTATGTGACGCTTTGGGGAACTTCTGTCGAGTATGGAATTTTTGGAAAGAGATAACTGAAAAATAAGCAATCCACATGAATAAATAAATTACTAATTAATTAATAAAAGGAGGATTCCGGCTACATATGTTTTTAGAAGGCTCAGTTGTATTTGATTTTCTGATTATGATTGTAAATATTGTTTTTTTTTTTAACAAACTGTGTATCTACTTGAATAGTGGAGGGGCAGATTAAAGAGTATTTATGCCACAGCGGATTGATATCTGTATCAATTACTAATTTTAAGATTCTGTGTTTCAATTTTCAAAGACGAATTCGTATCCAAACAATCCCGTATTTACAACATTACCTATAACTATCTATCATGATTAAAATGGGACATCCTTTGTTTACTCTGTTAATTCTGTCGATGGTGATTGTAAGCTTTGGAGACAAAATGAAAAATATATATACATGGAAATTTCCTGAATTTGAATGGCTCTCTAAGGAACAGGAGGAAGACGCGATACGTTCTGGTATTTATAATCCTTCCAACTGCATGTTTGAAGATGCAAATGAAGCAGAAGGTAAGTTGATGATATACTATTTAAAAAAAGTTATAATGATTTTGCAGGAAATTAACTTATTATTTGTAAATAAGTTATAATCATAATTATTTTTTTAGTATTAACTTGTAGTAACTAGTATAATTTAATTTCGTTCCTTTTTTTAAATTACATTTTAAATGAAAGGAACAGAATATAATTAGTTACATTTCTTTTAATAACTTCTAATTAATTTAACAATTACTTGGCTTGTACATTAAATCCAACGAAGAATTAAAAACAAGAACTAATATCATATTAAAAAATTGTCGTGCCTTCATTATATAAGAGTGCGTTCCAAAACGTAACTACAGAGTTTCAATTAATAATATTTACATTTTGGGAAACAACCCCAGAGCTACTGTTTTTTAAATTTAATTAACAAATGTATTTGTTATTTAATATTATGTGGTTAAGGTATTTTTACTATAATAATATTATTATTATGTATATATAAAATATTTATGATAATTTTCTCAGAAAAGAATTTAAAAAGAATTAGAAAATAATATTATAAAAAGTTCTTTGGTTGAGAAACATTGATACATTGCTAGTAAGTATTGTATTATTAAGAATGCGATATTAAATTCAAAAAAAGAGGAGAATTAAATGATAAATAAAACAAAAAAGAATAAAAAATAGTAATATCTTTTATAAGAATTAAAAATTAGATACAAAATTTCAGGATGGGGTTCCAATCTTCCAATCTTTCTCTAGATATGTCAGTGATCAATATTAAATGTAACGATCAATATTAAATCTTAAAACTTTAAGCTAATTCTGAGCTCTATTGATTACATTCAATTCTTATTTTTTTTATATGTTTAGTATATCTTAGTTTTTTATATGTCTTAGTTTTTTCTATGATTTTTTCTTTGAAATAAATACATCAATTACAGTAGCAAACATAAGTTACAAAAATAAATTCTTATAGATGGAAGATTATTCATTACTGTAACCAACGTATACACACGTGCTTCACCTGCTTCTTTGACGACAGTAACTAATAAAACAGGACTAGGAGGTCCAATTTTACGGCCATATCCAGATTGGAGTTGGTATAATAGCAACTGTGATGGTATTATAAATGTTTATCGAATAGACGTACGTATATCAATATCTTTCATTCAAGAAAAAATATAATTTTTTACATTTATATGTAATGTATTAAAGAGCAACAGTTTATTAAATATTACACATAACTACATGCACAATAGAATAAATTTGGACAATATAGGAAATAGATTTTTTACTTTTATCTCAGATTCGATGCAATCACCTCTTCGTTATGGATACCGGCAAAATCGGAACCGACCAAATCTGTAATCCAAAACTATTGATTTTCAATTTAAAAGATGATACATTAGTTAAAACTATTAACATCCCAATTAATATTGCTGACAAAACTGGATTATTGACAGCACCTTTGGTTTATATTTCAAATGAAACATGCATGCATTTTCTGGATAAAATGATAGTTAGTATATCTTCTCTCTTAATTATAATATTGTACATATTCATCTGTGTAAATATTATTTAAGAACACTTTTAATTATATATCTCTTTTGCGATTTAATATATCTATAAATATATATAGATATTTATGACTGATACGGGAAATTCCGGTTTAGTGGTGTATAACTCATTTACAAACAGTATGTGCAGAATCGAATCTGATTACATGGAACCGACTGATACTTCCTTTTCTGTAAGGGGCGAAAATTTTACATATGTGGGTGGTATCTTCAGTATAACAGTTCTTGACGATGGTAAGTATTTGTATTTTAAATAATTGATATACTTAAGTTATAATAATCTTAATTTAATCTTATATTACATAGCAAGTCTGAAAATATTTAACTTTAATTTTACATTGACACATTTACCATTTGCATTTATAACTTCTTTTTTATGTGACATTAATATTTATTTATTTATTAATATATATATGCTTTGCGCGCTAGTAACAACTAATAAAATATAAAAAAATTTTATTTTTACCCTATTCATGTTTTGAGGATTTCCTCCGTGACTGTACTTATTTATGGAATGGCAAATGCAACGTTTACGAAACGTTGATATGCCAAGAATGAACATAAACATGGAAACAACTTGCGAAACATATAGTTTTTGCGTAAAAGTTACCCCCGTGGAAAAAGCATAGAAAAGTTTTTTACAAATAATCAATGTATTTTTGCTGTAACTTCCAAATAATAATCCTTTTCATTATATTTTAAATATTTTAGATCTCTATTTTGCTGCTGTATCAGGAAAGAAAATATACAAAATAAAAATAAATAACTTACTAAAATGTCCAAACAAAGAAACAGCTAATAATCAAATTCAACTTGTTAAAATCTTATCAAGCCAGACAATAGCTCTCACATCAGCAGGACAATCAATATTTTATAACGATTTTTGGGCAATGTTTATTCTACTCATGAAAAAATCCAATAAATATGAAACGGTAAGATATCTATATGTAATTATATCTTACGTATCAATAAAAAATGTCTAATAATACTATTAATGATTATAAAATACTATTAATGATTATATTTAATAGTCATTGATATGATTTTATAAACTAAAATAAACTGTTATTTATTTCAAGGAAATGTTAGCACAAGGCAGCGAAAATTTTCAATCTATAAGTTCGATGAAAATTTCAAATAATGGATGTCAGCTGAAGTGCATATCTAATAGATTTCAACTTTATGCTTTGGGCAAATTAAATATAAATGAAACAAATTTCCGTTATTTCAAAATAAATTTGTGCTAAAAGAAATACAGAATTAGAAGATAAGTTAGCAACACATTGAAAGAAGAGATTGGTTGCGGCAACAAATTAGATGATTAAATATGGCATAACATTTTTAATTGGTTGCAGCAATCAATTTTTGGTTGCGTTAACCAATCGAAATCTTATACTGACATTGCGAACTAACACAACAATTGGTTGCAGCAACCAAAAATTGGCTGTTGCAATTAAAAATGCATATTTTACTATCTAATTTGTTGCAGCAGTCAATGTTTTCTTTCAGTGTAAGTTCTAATTTTCATATTTTAAAAAATATGTATGTATATATACATATATAATATCAAATACATAAGATGTAATTTTATATGTATACATATATAAAATTATGTGCATTACATATATCTACATTGTAAAAGATTAATTTGCAAACCTTTTAAAATTAATTAAAGAAATTTAAAGAAAAATTCAAAGATTTTTTAATTATACATACACATAAAAATAAGTCATTAGGGCGATAATAATAATTGACATAGAAATAAATAATAAACCATTTTGAAAAAGTTCTGCAAATAATTTCAGACTAATATTTACTAAACATAATCTCACTCAACAAAAAAATTCGGTAAATAGCATCTTGTAAGATGCTACATGAATTTGATGTAAACATATACTTCAAAATTATGTCAAAACGGTTATTATATAATAAATGACAATACATCATTTAATTAAGACGTTTTCTTGAGATTATTTTGATTAATTCTTATGAAAATATGTCATATATAAAATAAAGTTGTTCTTTAAATACTACTACTATTTTTTGGATGGCCATTTTTTCATTAAAGATATTTATTTATCACTTCGTATAGAATCTATTGTTTTATAATGTCTTTCAAACACAAACAAAATGAACATTCTGAGCGAAAAAAGTATTTAATTAATATTTATTGAGAATCTTTACGCGCTAAGAGCTTGATGAGAGTAAAGCACGATAATATGTGTTCAAATATTTTTTACGAGGCCAGGAAAAGAAAAAGAAATAAAGCCGCAAACGTAAAAAAATTTAGAAAAAATTTTACATCTTCCCTTTTTTACATCCTTCACGAAGATCTCATGATTTATGATATTGATTAGGAAATAAAATTCTTCGTGGCATAGCGCAGCTATGCCATTAAAAGTCTTACCTTGTTTCAATAGACATGACACTTCGTAATGCGTTTGATTCTTTCGCAATCCAGATTTTGCACGACGTTTCTCACCAAACGAAGAAAATTTTTAAATAGTGATAAGTTTAAACTCAGATATTCCTGTACTTATTCAATTATGTTTCTGCGAGTCTTATCTTTTTTCTTTATGTATGATGATGTATTTATACTTACTATGAGAAAACTCAAAACTTAATTTGTTTAAAGAAACACTTTATTTAAAAAAGTCAGACATAAATTTTGTTAGCGTTAAGTGTATTTATTGGTTTTGTTATTTCATTATGTTTTCTTTTTTATTAATTTTGGAGTGTAATATTTGGAATGTAATATTTGTATTCAAAATACAAGTTATTTTATACATATATAAATTGTCAGAATGAATTGCAAATACTCTTCAAATAAACAAATTTGTTACTCTATTTCTTAAATTTATAATTTTTAACTCAATTAGACAAATATTAGTAAATATTAACCAATATAAAAAAGTGGCAATTTAATCAAAATTTTTAACGAACTGTCGGGTTGCAAGAATATCGAAATTTCTTGCAACATTGCTCATTATGCGTGAGATTACGTAATTATTTAAATGCACTAACAAATTTTCAAAATTATTTTTAAAATATCTAAAATTATTTTCAGATCTGTGTTTAGCTAAATTTTTTAGATATTTCGGCAAAATGGTTTCTTTCGTGTTCTAGATTTCTTGATAAGCTACACGCACATGACTTGTATGTACATGTTACTATGCATGTATAATTTGTATCATAAGTCATTTATAAATATTGTAACAACGTCAAGTTGAAAGACTTTTAATAGCTGTAATTATGATTAGAGGTTGCATAATCAATGTTTCAAAATACATTTTAATACATATTCATTGAAAAAAAGTATATAATTGCCAAACAATTGTTATTGTACTTGCATTTGCGACATACATATTGTACTTGCATTTGCGTCTACCACGATATACAGGTCAGTTATATTATTTTATTATTCTAATCCAAAAATTACAATAAACTTAACTATTTAGAAATGCAAAACAATTTCTGAATGAAAATGCACGGATCTAAATTTCCTGATTAAATTTATTAAATTTTAATTGAGATAAACAGATATATTTAATTATGACGACCAGAATTTTGATTAATGTTAGGTGTGGGAAAAAGTTCGTGGCGTCTTTTTAATGCCATCTAACGCTACGAACTTTTCCTCATACCTAATATGATTATATAGAATCTTATTGATTCATTCATTTTCAATCAGAAATTTTTCTCAGCACGCATCTTTAAAAATTTCCCTCTTAATGCAATTTATCACAATTTACAAATGCAATTTATTTCTAAACCAAATTTGTTTCACATAAGTAATATATACAGTTACGGACAAAATTGCATTTTTCAAAATTTCCCTCTTAATGCAATTTACCACAATTTACAAATGCAATTTATTTCTAAACCAAATTTGTTTCACATAAGTAATATATACAGTTACGGAAAATTGAGTGGACAAATAGTGGAAATAATTAAAAATTAGTCAAAGTAGTATTACTATTATATAACTATGTTTTATATATTACATATTTTGTGATACATACATTATTTAATGAATAATTGAAATTAATATTTACATTTTTTTTTGTATACGCAAACTATATTGAAAAAGTCAGCTAATTGTCGAGAGACAAAAATAAGTGGATACTTGGATAAAATTGTAGGACAAAAAACGTAAATAAATATGCGTAATTCTCCTTTCCACATAGTAATTTCAAACTAATTAATTAGTTTCAATTTAGATTTTTGAATAAATAATATAATAGAATGTCCAGAAGAAAAGAAATTTTAAATCAAATTCGCCATTTAATTGTTTCTGACTGCCAGAAGAAGTTAAATTACCGTGTAATAGCACAAAAGTACTACGTATCCAAAAGTGCAGTAGAAAAAATTTATAAAAAATATTTGTTGCATAATACCGTAGAAAATTTAAGAGGTCATGGATGCAACCATTATATTATCATATAAAAAGACCGAATTATTCGTCAATGTCGATAGAATTCAAAGATTGCATCACGAAATATTATTGAAACGTTAGAATTGAATATCATCGAAAACAATAAGATGGAGATTGCAGGTTGATTTAAAATATTGATTGAGGTTGAATTAAAATATTGCATACTATCTAGATGTAAGCCACATATTAATAAAACAAATATAAAGAAACGTTTAGCTTTTTAGCTAAAAAGTACGTTAATATACCATCGTCATTTTGGAATAAAATGCAATCTTTGGATTCTGTTGACATTGACAAAGAATTCGACGATCTTCTTGACGGTAATACAACGTTTGCGTCCACGACCTTTCAAATTTTCTACGGTATTATGCAACAAATATTTTTTATAAATTTTTTCTATTGCATTTTTTTGGATATGTCGTACTTTTTATGCACGATAACTTACAGCAGTTCGAAACAATTAAATGGCAAATTTGACTTGAAATTTCTTTTCTTCCGGACATTCTATTATTTATCTAAAAATGTTTTGCACAAAATCTAGATTGGAACTAAATAGTTTGAAACTAATATGTGGAAAGAAGAACTACGCATTGTATTTATTTACGTTTTTTTGACTTATGGTAATGTCTTATCCAAGTGTCCACTTATTTTTATTTCTCGACAATTAGCTGACTTTTCCGTTCAATATAGTTTGCGTGTACAAAAAAAAATATAACTGTTAATTTGAATTATTCACTAAATAATTTATGTATCACAAAGATATATAATATAGAAAATATAGTTATATAATAGTAATACTCTAATTTTCATAATTATTTCCACTATCTGTCAACTCAATTTTGTCCGTAATTATATAATATCTTAAAAAAAAATTGTTGTCAAAACAATTCATTACATTTCACGACGCAAATGCAATTCGCTATAAAAAACTAAATAGGACATAACCGAATATTACGTGTATTAATAATAAAATAAAGGAATTGTACCTATTTATCAGTCGTTTTTCTTCGAAAACCTATTAAGTTCGGATTTATAATAAGTTAAGCTTTAAGTTATAAGAAATTAACCAACTACGAGTCGAATGCGAGGAGAATAATTGATTGTGATTTGTCCATTCCTTATTATAGCTTAAGGCTTAAAAAATCTATTGTAGATCCAGGATAAAATTGAGTGAATTTGTGAAATTTTAGCATTTTTTCTGATATTTTATTGGGAATATTTGTTGCGACTATATCAAAAGATTGAATGCATACATCAATTAACAAATTGCAACACTTTCTTGGGTTTCCGAATGCAGCCTGTTCATCGAGCGATTGGTTTTTATTTATTATATGTATTAGATCAATCTAACCATTTACGTTTATCTGCTCTACAAGGAAAGAAATCCATCGAAAAAAAATGTTTTAGTTTATAATTCACACATCAATAATCGTAGAGAATAAAATGATAATAATATTAATAAAGAAAGTAATATTCCAATCAATATTTTATTAAAAGAACATTTGCGTAATATTTTTCTTGGAATTCGAAATTCTAACTCCCAAGACGAACTCATATTTTGGATAGAAAATTCCTTTTTGTCCTGCTCTGAACGACACAACATTACGATCTGTAAGCTGCTAGCTACTTAAAAATGGGATATTCTTCATCTATTCTACTAATTGTGTCAATGACAATTGTGAGCTTTGGAGTTGAAGTGAATTTCATACATGAATGGAAATATGCTGATTTTGAATGGGAAAGTCAAGAGCAGAAGCAAGCAGCGATAAATTCCGGCACTTACAACCCATTAATGTGCGTGTTCGAAGATGCAAGTAAAGCGGATGATAGGTTGATAGTAGATAATTTAAAAAAATTTATTATATAATACTTAATTTTAGAGTTCAACCGAAATTTTGGTTTCGAATTCGGTTTTGTTAAAATCAGGGTTTTGATTTGATTTTAGTTTCGATTAAAATTAAGAGAAAA